ATTTTAATATTGCCATATAAGGTCATGAAGACGACCCCTCCAAGACAATAACGCTTATAAGTCACTTCCCATTGTTCGTAACAATATAAAAGCAGCCACCCTCACCGTAGAAACGCCTCTTTTTTCCATACGAAGTTCAGAGAGATTCTTGGGTGATCAACTTTCTAGTTTAACTCTTATAGTCTTCGCGTCAGTCAATTGAAGTTTTACGCGTACAAATATGTCATCGGCATTATTTTGTGCTCCGCTGTTAACGTGTTCGTAGTCCATCCTTACATGATGAATATGACTCATTTGGGTATGAAGGGTCGCGTAGCCTGCTGTTCGCTGATCTACCGCAAGACGTTGAAGCTAACTAGAACCGCGTTGGGCGAAATGACAATCGGCCAGGCAGTCAATCTGCTATCTAACGACGTCAATAGATTCGACGTCAGTATCATATTTCTCCATTATTCGTGGCTCAGACCTTTGGAGACCATTATCATCACATACATTACATTCCATTTGATCGACATCGGAATATCATCTATTTTCGGTATCGCATTTCTTCTGATGTTCATTCCTTTTCAAGGTGAAGCAGTCAATGCTCTGATAGTTTCTAGCAAACATTTCTAAACTTTATGAAAGGCACACGTACACATATATATCAAGTCAATTTCAATTTAATCGGCTTATTAAATTGAAAGTTACTTGTATGTGTACATGTGCCTTTTGCAAAGTTAAGAAGCGTTTAAATACTTTAAATTATAAGTAACTTCGCTAATGAAAATCGTCTGTTTGCTTCAATTAAACTGTCTACTGGTAGAATCTTACTTACGATTAGTTTTGTTAAATAATAAATAACAAATAATAGATTTTTAATAAACGATAATTAATTTAAATTAACTTTAATCTGAAATCTTTACATTGTAAATTGTTGCTTTTCAACTATGCTTTTTAAATTTTTTTAAATACGAGAAAAAAATTCCGTTTCCAAATTTTACATTTTCATTGCTATGTCTCCAAATTGTTGAGTTTCTTGCTAAGTTTCCCTAATTACTGAGCCTTTTTTCTGCTCAATTAATAAATATCGTTTGGTAAATCACTAACAAGTTATAAGAGTTGCTTCTAATCGTATAATATTTTTAAAATTCCTTAGTGCGGTTAGGCAAGAAGTCGTCAGAGCTGAGATTAAGAACTGCTATCAGGACAGATGAGAGGGTACGATTAATGAACGAGATTATTAGTGGAATCCAAGCCATCAAGATGTATACCTGGGAGAATTTTTTCACCTCACTCATAGAAAAAGCAAGAAAGTAAGTACTACCGCATAAACTGATTACGTAAAAAATGTTTGTATCGATTGTACAATACATTGCAATAAGAAAGATAATTCTTGCAAAACCTGTTTGTGATAACGCCTTCGTAGCCCAAAAAATGGAAACAGAGAATATTTCTGTTTTTTAATGTTTGTATTCACAAAAATTCCAGTATTAGAAATAAAATTTCAATTATTAGAAATAGAGAGAGAGAGAGAGAGAGAGAGGAGGTCATATCCTGGGACGATTAATATTGTACGATATTTTTTATTTGAAATGAAAAAGAAAAAATATATATATTGTACAATACATTAACGCTACAAAATTCAATTTTAGGAAAGAAGTTAATATCATTCAATGGGCGTCATGCGTCAGAGGTATCGTACAGTCTTTCATCGTCTTTATGACAAGAATATTGTTGTTCATTACGATACTGTCTTATATTCTGTTTAGCTACAAGATAACGGCCGAGAAGGTGTACGTGATAACTGCCAATTATAACAGTTTAAGTCACTTAATCATGACTGCCTACTTTCCGCAAGGTATGCGATAATTAGCAATGTATGTGATAATTACATATGTGAATGACATCGATCAATATTGACGCTTGCAATGCTCCTTTTTATTTCTTCGTTTTTACTTTTTCAAGTTTTTACTTTTCTTTTTTTTTTATGTCTTTCCTTTCTCACTGTTCAACACTGAATGATGAATTCCTCGCTGCATTTGTAGCAGAGTCGACGTAATGTGTTCACGAGCATTTGCATGCGATAACTTGCTGATTAAAGCCATAATGGCCACAATTGGCAAATTATTATACATAATTAGTCGGTTACTCGAAACTATAGAAATTAAATCATCTATTGGTAGTTATAGAAGATAATTACTTACTTATCTACGAAATGTTAAGTACATCACGACTATGACACTCTAATGTATTTTGATTTACTAACAATAACAGAATAGACAAACTGATGTAATCAAATCAGACGGACTGCCTGCACAATTTATTAGTGCTATCCATTGAATTCACCGTATAATTTCTCATAAACAAGCAGTAGGTCGTACATTATATAAGGGCTGGTTACCTTACTTCTTTTCAATTATTATATTTTATACTTTGTGCACTTTATTATCTTAATATCATAATAAATTAACGTTCCGTTTAAGAATCACATCTAACGTTAAATATAAAGTAAATTATTCTATTGTACATTTTTATTTTTTTTATTTGTTTTTATGATAACCCAGGAATAACACAAGTAGCGGAAACGATTGTGTCCATAAAACGACTGCAAAAATTCCTCATATATGACGAACTGACTCTTTCCGAGATTGAAGCAAAGAAGTATAATAAGGAGAACAACAAGGACACAAAAGAAAATAATAAGAATGGGAAGGAGAATAACGAACAGGATATGAAGGGGAATAATAAGAAAAATTCGAAGAAAAATTTAATCGAGCAGAAGAAGAACGGGTAAATATCAAGAAAAGGGGAGCCACTTCCGATGACCTTGACCTTGACATACGTTGTCAAGGTCGTGACCCTGAGTGACCT